GCCGCCCGCGGCGCTCCGCGGCAGCGCTCCGACTCCCGCCCTGGCAGCGGCCTCGGTTTCCTTCACCAACTACGCCGTTGACGCTACTCTCTCGCAGCGGCCACCGTCAAACGCGGTACTTACGCTGTTGACGCAGGACCGGACTCAGTATGCTTGGCTGCGCATTTCTTATTCACGGAGCGAGGCGTACGCAAAGAGCTCGGCGCTGTGGCAACTAGGGCACGCGGGCGCGAAAGGCGGTGGCGTTGCTGACAGGAGCTGTGGAGCGGGAACCAGGGACGGGCTGAGGCGGCGACATATTGGTGGGACAGGGCACCTTTTATTAATCTGTTTCTTTTGTTTTGAAGAGAGAAGTGCAGTTGTTTAGCAGTTGTTTTAACTTTGCAGCTGTTGTTGTTGTTGAGCAGTTTTCAATATTGGAGGTTGGGTGCCTGTGTCAGCTGAGCCGTTGACCTTACTGAGGGAAGGGGGGGTCGGCCGTCACCGATTCTTTCAAACGTTAACGAATTCTGAGGGCGGGTTTAAACTAGACCCCTTTTAAAAGAATGCTTTTTTTGAAAAAAGGCCATTTGTTCACATTTGCTTTAATATTACTTTGAGCCCTTTCTCTGGTTTGGGACATTGGACTACTTCACTTTAACCCTTGGAAAAACATTCCCTCCTTCACCTTGCAATTTTAAGCTTTCTCGCTCGTTTTTTTTTTGTTTGTTTTTTTTTTTGTTTTTTTTTTACAGTTTTCATTAGAAAATTAAACCAGATAAGACAATTCAGCTGATGGACGTTAATGCAGATGACCATGAATCGTTCCAGCTTCTTCTTTCATAGCTTCCTAACGATGAATGTGTGCTAAAATAGCTCTTCTGGGACACAGAGCACTGTTTAAAGTCAGTAGTTGTCTTTTTGGTACATTATCTGTCCAGTCCCCAGGTACAGTCATTTTGGAGTATTTTTAGGGATCGGGAGAATCTTTCCCAGGAAAATCCGGGATGGCACATGCTCGTATCTCAGCCAACCTCCCCCCTGATATCGATCCCACAAAAGCTCCTGTTGCATTCGGAAAGAGGGCCCTTCCTAAACTGCAGGAGGAGTTACATTCTCCTGATCTGCTGACTCAGCAGCGGGCATTGATGGCGCTCTGCGATCTGGTCCATGACCCAGAAAATGTCTACCAGGCAATAGAAATAGGTAAGTGATCTGTTGTCATACGCTTTGACACAGTGGTGGTGGTGGGGAACCCCACTTTTGTGCACTACTTTTTTCCTTGCAGTATCTTCAATGACACAAAATGGCCATGAAAATTTTTCCGTTTTAATCTCTTTTTTTGCCTTAAAAAAGGAAAGAATGTTATAGTGTCATATACATGACAGTTATTTTAAGAGTATCCTCATTTTAGGATTTACCAGTGGCTCAATATGGGTTTTATCAGCCCCTAAATACAAAAGTAGTGCAGAATCTTTTTTTTTTTTCTTTTGTTCATTCTGAATTTTAGCTAGTTCCTAATGCAGGCTAATTAAAAATTTTTAAAAAAATGCTTAATTAGTCCAAAGTTAGAAACACACCCCCCACCACCCCCTTGCCACTTAGTTAAATCTCATTTGCCTGGAATTTTTTCTAATCCTACTGTCTATGAACCTTTCAGAAAAAACCAAAGCAGTGGATTTATGAATTTCTAATATCATAGAACTACTAAAAATATTTTATTTAGAAAGGGGAAAAGAAAAAGCTTTTAATTATCCTAGAGCATGGAAGAAAGGCAAAATCTCTGTTGGTTTTTTTTTTCTCCTTCATTAGACATTTTCTACCACATATGACTTAGGAAGTGTTACCTTCCTGGTTTTTTCATGCTTGAGGTTCTCAAAATACTCCTGTCTCAGGTCCCATAATAATAACAGGCAAAAAACTCTCATGAACATTTTAATTAATAATTAATAAAATAATATTTAAATAAGGTTTACAAGTTCATTTGCCAAATATATGAAGTCATCTTTTGCCATTCATTCCTGCAGCAGTGAATAGCATGGCACATCCACATCTAACTTTAGCCAAGAGACAAAACATCAGAGCTTTTTATGCAGAACTCCTTCTCAGAAATGCCTTTGTGATTGTAGAATGAGACTGTAACAAAAAACCTCTGGAGCTTCATGAGAAGTTAAGATACAAGACAATATAACCAAATTTATCATACTTGTCAGGATTATATGTAGCCACTACTATTTTCAAAAGCTTTTATCCCAGCGCTTGGAAGAATCCTAAGTTTGAACTTTGGAAAAAAAAAACCCACAAGCTTATCTTCGCAATTTTTAGCATCTGTTGTGTATCTACATCGCTCATTATGTAACACTGAAGAAGTCGTCCTGTTTGCCACTGCTTTTTTCTCCATTTAGTTCCTTCACATTTTTTTCCTCATAAAAGATAGCAATAATTGTGTTCAAAGTTTATTACTTTATTGTTTGATTAACAGTAACTGAACAGTAACAATGCAAGATTGTTTGTTTGGGGGTTTTTTGGTCAGTGCTGTGTGTGTACACACATAATCATTAATGGTTCACCAAATGTATCTCTACGTGTGAAAAGCAACACTGTGTGTTTTTACATAGCTAATGCTACTACTAAACAAAGTTTAAAAAAATGTAGGCGTCAAGCCTGCAAACACATGCTTTTCTAAAAACATCAATAGCTCCACTGACTTGAGCTATTTTTAGAGTTATGTCACTTCATAAATATCTGCAAGATTAGGATTTATCTCGATACAGAAGTCAGCAGTTGTTTGTAGCATGGCATTTTTGGCAGTAGGCCTTGAAACTGGCAAGTTTCTTCCCTACTTGAGATATTACAATGAGAGTTTCACCATCAGGACAAGATGAAAATTCTGATTGTTTGCACTTCAAATAGTGAGACAGAAATGAGTATTCGTATTTCAAATTGATGTTGAAGCTAAGAAATGTTAAAATGAACTATTGTGTCTCACAGGATTCTTGGACAACCTGAAGACTTTGCTGCTACATCATGACAGTACTGTCCGACAAAAAACAACACAAATCCTCTATATAATGGCTAGACATAATGTTGGCAGGTAGGTGTAATTCCAGAGTGTACTGAATGGTAAGGGAAGTGATAAAGACATTTCAGTGAGAAATAAGAACAGAATATCTACGTTTTGGCAAGATAGGTGCAATGTAAATAAGAGTATTTAGTTAAGATTAAGCATCTTGCAAATTATATGAGTTATATTACGCTTAGTTAGATCTGTCCTCCAATGTTGTTTGTAGGCAAGGCCTGATACAAAATGGAGTGATTTCTGCCCTCACTAAGCTCTTGGATGATCCAGTAGATATCTGTCGGAAGAACACGCATCAGATTTTTGAAATGATGGCAAAATTACCTGAAGGTAGGGATTTTTTCAGTAGTTAAGTATTCAAATAGGCAAAGCAGATAGGTGAATTTACGTAATTCCGTGTGTAATATCTTCCAGATTTATTTTGTTCCATTTTCCTTGAAATTCATATTTAAAACCAGTATCTTTTATAGTTTTGCTGATTTTAATTTTCTTTAGTTAGATTTCCAATGAGAATTTGTTCTTTGGGTTCTATCAGAAAATTTGAACAGGTATGACTCTCATCTCTTTTATGGTGGAGACAACTATGTTTTCTAGAGCTGTTTTTGCACTTCTAAAAATTTGCAAGTTCTGTAATAATAGGGAGAATACTTAGCCAAAGTACAGAAAATGCTTTTCATAGGTAAAAAGTGAAGTGCCCCGTGATAACATAAGATATCTGTGAATAGTCCTGTCTATGTATTGTGGGGACTGATCCTGCTAGATCTGCAAATTTTCTTAGGGCTTGTGTAAGTTAAGGCTACCTGCTCAAGATACATGGTGTGTGGCCTGCACGCTTGAATTTATATTTCAGAATCTTGCATCAAAAATTCACTTTGACCTCTTTTGTTCAAAATGATGATCAACTGTTCATCATGGTGCGCTAATTTCACAGCACACAGAATTTGTAGGGAGTTTTTCTGGTGTTAGGAGTTACAAATTTTGTGAGATTTGTTTTATGCCTTCCCCACTCCTTGCAAGCACTGGTGTAGGAGGAGGCAAATGAGCAAGTAAGGGCACCATTCATTGCACTGTGTAATTCACAGGTTATGTATTAATGTGTCTTAGACTCATAGGCACTGTTTCTTAAATGTATGCTTTGAAGTTCCTTTCAGGTGGTGAATTTAAAAAAAGAAAAAGCAAACTGGGGGTGATGCAAGGAACAACGAAGAAGTTTGCTTTTTCTGATGATTTATTCAAATACTGTTTGCCCTTAGGTAGTATTGTTAAATGAACTTGGTAAGATATGAAGTTAAAAATGTGATAAATCACACCTAATCTCAGATGTCAAATTGACCTAATCATCTTACACCCCCTGTATAGCAGGAGAAAAATCAGTATCTAAAAGGGCAAAAAGTCTGACATATCATAGGTGCTCAGTTTAGGATGAAATGAGTTCTGCTCTGGTGATGTCTGTTTATCTCCAGTGAGATAAACAGAAGCTGGGTTGATTACATCAGAGTCAGGCATCTAGCGTTTAAATGCTTCAGTCTAAATAGAGGAACCCAAGCTGAGAATTTGGCTTTGACTTGCCAGAATAGGTCATTGTACTTTTGCATGCTTCCTTTATATTTATTATGTATCTTTATAATTTTCTAAATCTTTTACACACTAAGGGAATTTATGCTGATTTGTTACTTTTATTTCCAGATTCTATCCTTATAATTTCAATAGTTTTCTAATCTGAACATTGATCTTAAACTTTTCTATTCCAGTTAATGAAAATAATAATTTTAAAATTAAAATTTCGGTATATAGAAATTATCAATTAAAAAGCCATACTATTTAAATTCGTGGGAAACTATCTTGTCTGAGGAATTTTGTTACATTACTGGTGGTTAAAAAATAATTAAATGAATACTTAAAGCCTTGCTGAATAAATGTATATGAATTCTAAAAGTATAAAGATGTATTTTTACATGTCCTACATAACTGAATCCATATGAAGGATATTAATATAGTGGGCTAAACAACTTTGTGAACATCAATATAGAAAACTAGATTTTCTATTAATTTAACTTCACTAGCCAGTTTACAGATTTCCAAATCAAATGAGACAGGGACTTGGTATAAGTAAATTTTGTCCTGTCTGACTGCCTTTAAAGAATTCTGTTCCTTAACTGTGTAGGCAGATAGATACCATCCTGTGAATGTATGGGGATCATAAGTGAAACTTACAGGAGAAGCAAACTTAACTGAAGTAAATGAATGTTGCCAAACCTTTGCAGATCACTATGAATCATTAGCCATTCATCCATACTGGCTAAGGCCGCCGCCTTCACACTTTTGGAACGTCACAGTTCAGTCCTGAGCCTTGCTGTTCAGTCACTGCTGTACTGAACTTCAGTATTAACGCTGACCTTCAGATCTGGCTGGATCTCTAGCAGGCTAATGCAGGAACTTACCTCTTTTTGCTGATGGAGTTTTCGGATGTCTGCATGATGCACAACTTGACTGGAAAGGTTTCGGTTTAAACAGGGAAACTGCCTCAGGGTTGGTGGCTGCTATACATGCTGGTTTAGATATGAATTTGAGATTTACAGATGTAAACTACAGCTCAAGTTAGATGTAAACACCTGCCTGCTTTTAGGTTCTATCTCCCAAAACTGAGTGCCTTTACTAGGTAGGTTGGAAGTTTGGCTACAAAAGCAGAAAACATTCACTGGAGGATGAATAAAAGTTCTAGAGGGGAAAAAAACAATTATAAAAAAAAAAGCTATCCCTGTAGTCCTGAGAGGAAGTGAAGGCTTTTTTTTTTTTTTTTGGTGTTTGCAGTCAGAGACTGGCTAAAAAGCAGGGACTAAAACCAAGGGTTATATAGAAAGCGTTTTATTAGAACCATCATTTCTATTGAGACTTACTGTAGCAGTAAGCGACACTAGCTCTTGGTGGTGCCAAAACATAAAATGTTGCTTATTAAGAATTCCACACAAATCAAAATACATTGCCCAAACTAGAGGATATGTAATGGTACACCATACTGCCACTCAGGTCTGCTCCCATTGTTCCATCTTTATCCCTGCAAGCATCTGAATGTGTCATCTTAGGTCAGGAGCCACTAGTGGGAACTGTCACAACTGTAAAGCCAGTTTGGTGATAAATCAGGAAATGTGAAATTATACTATACAAGTAGAAATCAAGTTGCCTTCTGGAGTGGAAGGATTATCCAACCCCTGCTGAGCTGAGAACTTAGCAAAAGCTGAGAGCTAGCTGCGGCAGTGTCTCTCCTCAAAACCTTGCCTTTGATTGAAGGCAAAGGATTCACAGCAGCTCTGAAGTGAGCATGAGACTCTGCCAGACAAAGACCAGCTTCCAAATCATGTCACAGTCCCATCTTAGTGAAAGTTGCTTATATTTACAAGAAAGGCTACAGTTCTCTGCGGGGTAGTTGCTTTTCAGTGAGGCTTTTTTTGAGCTAAGGCTGATACCTGTTTCTTCATTTTACCTCTCCCAATTCAGGTACTGGTGGCAGATAAGAATCAGGTTTTCCAAATCACATTAACATCAAGACTTGTTTCAGGGAATGGTTCTGGAGTCTTCCCTCCAAAAAGCAGAAAAGAGTAATTAGTAGTATGAAAAGGGGGCATTTAAATAATTGTAAAATTAGTTATTTGTTAAATTCTGTGCATCAGTGCCTTCATTGCAATTTCCATCTAAATGTAAGTAAGGAGAATACCTTTATTAGAAACCTGATATTTATGTCTGTTTTGAATAATTTTTTTCCATTCATTAATTCTCAACATTTAGCATAATCCTAATTTATTTGCAGTGATCATGCTCTGCATGCATGCAGGCCAACCTTTTCTCTATTTCCCTCCCCCCCCTCTTCTATTTATATGAAATTAAAAATTAAAGTAGAGGAACTGTTTACATCTGTGAAGCAAGTAGAATTTAATCTTTATCTTCTGATCCTATATTCAAATCTCTCAGAAAGCATGATGTGTCTAGCAGTCGCTTTATAGCTTGCTGGAGTCATACTTTTCTAGGTGAAATTATCTTCCAAAGCTTAATTTCTTCAGTTATGAAATGATGCCAAATTTTTACTATTTCCTCTGTCAATATTTGTGCTATTAAAAGCCTCCAAGACTTGTTCAGGATAGAAGTCCTTGATTAGATTGAGTTAGTCTTGCATAGCTTTCTATAGACTAGATTTTCATACAATGTCCTTTGACAGTTTTGGGGGGACCGGGGGAATAGAAGAAACCTGCAATCCTCAGCCTGTCAGGTATGTACAGCCTAGAAGATCAGTAGTGTAGGAGCTGACCTAGCACATTGTCAGTGAAAGCACATCTGAGTAATTACCTGTAGAAAAAAGGTGTTTTTCTGAGCCATGTATTCTTTTTATTTAGATAACAATATAACATATATAAAAATATATATGTGGTGGTATTTAAGGGTTGGAAGGTAACTCCTTGAGCAGAATTGTCTTACTGTAGAATGGACTCACATACAGATGGCTCCTTGCAAGAAAGCAGAAAGGTGCTACAACTGTTTCCTTTGCTGTGAGACAATTTGGGGAATTACCAGGGAGACAGCAAATATTTTCAAGTAGGTAGTAAGAGTTGCAAGGCCTGACATAATTAATCTAACATATTATTATAGATACAGAAATAGTCTCTGCCTGGCAATTCATCCTTCTTCGGCTAGCCAAGAAACTGTCTGTCCTCCTCTCTGCATTCACTTCTACACCTCACATCCAGATAATGAGATAGGACGTACCTTGTATCAGCTGCAGGAAGTCAGCAACTAACATACCGTTCCAGAGCTAGATTTCTGATGTTTTCTAGAGCCGAGGTAATTTACAGCAGTATGTTCCGCACTAGACAAAAACAAGCTGTACATGCATTTGGCATGAAGTGTAGTTCTTTTTGTTAAATGGGAAGTGGTCAGTGAATCCAGTTAGCTCAATGCCAGGCCACTTGGTCTTTCTCCAAACAGGAGTAATTTAGGAAAATGTGGTTATTTTAAGCAAATTCACTTGCAGACTGTTTTTAATTCCTAAATTTAAGGATGCATACCAGTATCCTCCAGGAACAACGGGATCATTAAAAACCAAAAGGTGGGAAAATCCACAAGGATTGCAAGAACACTGAGCAGTAACATTTCCAGAAGAAACAACAACTTAGTGGCAGGAATTAATGGACAGAACAAAGACAAAAATAAGAGATATAAGTATTCACTGGAGGATAGAAGAGGGAGAAGAACCAGCAGCAGGAGAAAACTAGGGACACAGGAAAAATTAATAGCAAAACTTTCACTCTTTGTGAAAACAATTAGTTGACTACAGTACTTAACAATGTTAGTGACAGGGTGTTATGCAATGATGAATTACCTGGGCAATAACAACTGCAAAAATAGTTCTAGGAAAAAAAGTCCTTCTCTAGGATATGGTTAATACTGGAAAATTTAATAATTCTTACCCATTATCTGTCTGTCTTTTATGGGTATTTAATCGTTTTTGACAAAGATTGAGATGTATTGGATGGGGCAATGGATTTTTAAGCTTGCCAGAACCTCTATTTGGGAACAGTCCAAAAGAGAATATTTCTCCTCCTTTACTGACCCTGTCTCCACTACTCCACCCTTGGAAAATCATAGCCAATCAGATCTGTGGATAAGGACCGTTTAAGGATACCATTTTCCCTTTGAAACTTGTTTTCCTGTATGGAGTACAAATGATAATATCAAGGACAGATGGCATTCTTATTGCAGCAGATGGAACATCTCTTCTGTGAATGTCATTGTTGCCCAGGTGAAGTGAAATCCCGGCTGTATTAATGCACTTCTTTCAGGTGGCAGTGCGCTGTGTCACTACTAAACCTGAGAACTGAGAAAATAGATGCAAATTTAATTGCGTGATTTATCCAGGTGGACAACTAAGAGTCAAGGGATTTCATTTCAGCACCTGTCTTTGGCCCAGACTTTTTGGTTTTAATTTCCATGTGCCTCAGTTTTCTAATACAACCAGAAAATAGAATTACTTCTGGGTAGAACAGAATTTGTTTTAACATCTTGAGTTCTTCAGATAGAAAACAGAGTAAGCATGAGCTACTTGGAATACTAAGATCAAAAACATCATAGGAATTAAATGATTAGAGAGTTAATAGCAAGAAATTGCTATTCAGAGAACATAATTATGTAAATTGATTATTTAAACTAAATTTACTGCTTTATTCCTCCCCATGCCTATGCTTTTCTTAAGCCAAGTAGGAACACATGGCAGTGCTTCAATTTCTTTTCTGCTTCCCAAGATAACCTTCATTAAATGAGGAATGTAACTGACTGCTTTTCTTTAGAAATACCCTTAGGCCTTTCTTAAAATACCACAGAATCACAGAATGTTAGGGGTTGGAAGGGATCTCTGGAGATCATCTAGTCCACCCCCCTGCTAGAGCAGGTTCACCTAGAGCAGGTCACACAGGAATGCATCCAGGTGGGTTTTGAACATCTCCAGGGAAGGAGACTCCATATCCTAGGTTCTCCACTTCTGTTGTAGGTTGCCTGTAATGCTTGTGCTGGAAGGACCTTCTTAGGTGAATAAAGATTTATTTTTTAACATAAAATGTGTCTTGCACCTGTCATAATTGACTACACTTTTGTTTTTAGTTTTCCTCTCCAGCTTTCTTACCTTGAAGCTATGCTTTAATGATTGCCCGTGTTTTCTTGTCACTTCTTTAACTCATCTGAAACTGCCACCGTATCATGAAAGCTAGAGGTGAAGGAGGCACAACATCTAATAGTCCATTCATTGGAAAGGGAAGCCCTGGCTCATTTTTTACCATTTTCACAATTCAGTTGGCTAACAGGATATTACATTGTAGAAAGCAATTCAGCCTAGACATACTGTGCAATTTCTCAAGTAAGTGACAGCACTTTAATGGTAAACAAAGCTTAGAGGATCCTGTGCTAGCTCTATGGACTGTACTAGCAATTACCATATAGAGCTTTGAGTAAACTCACCAAGTCAAGCAGCCTGACTGCAGCTATCACAAGCAGGCGATAGCATCTTCTCATTACAAGAGCTAAGTACCCTGGGTGGCATGACAGACCTTTTATACCTTCAAGGCACAGCCTCATTGGCTCTTTTGTCTCTGTTCCTCAGGTGTAAGAGTTGACAGGGAATGCTTAAAGGGGCCCCATGTCTTCAGTACAGGGGTAAAATGACTTGTTCAAAACTAGATAGATTTTTCCCCATTATCGATTATGTATGGACTGAAGAGTTTTGAAATTCTTAACACATGACTTGAGCCTCAGAGAGTATTTTTGGTTATGGTTGCATTCTCTAGCAAGGTTGAAAAAGATTATTACTTGTACCATTGCCTTCAAGAGTATTGTAGTTCTGGCAGTCCCAGCTCATTAGCTTAAGTCTCCATGTCACTTAGAAAAATCCTAGCTTGAATTTAGATATCCTCAAACAGGCCAAAAGAAGGATTCTTAAATATAAGGTAGGAAAGAGTAGAACTTTTTGTTGCATTTTGTAGAAATGCCGAGAAGCGAACAAATGAATGAAATTATCCAAGCAGTATCAAATATTTTCAGCTGGTCTTAGAAATTTTAATGGGGTGAAGGGTTCTAAGTCAAATTCTGTTTAAACTCCAGGGATATTATTTGTCTTGCATCCTCTAACAATCATTTTTATGAGTTTATGCTGTTTGTACAAGAGTTGCAGCTTTTTCTTAATGTACATCCAGACTTTTAAAGATTTCAGTTAGAGGATGTTCTAGAAGAACCTTGTTATAGCCTGAATGGATGGAATTTTCAAGAAAACTTCAATGAAAAACCATCAGTAAGACTTATGCTGATTGATCACTTTATATGGTCACTTTAAAAAAATATTTAGATTTTTCTTAAAGCCTAATTTTTCACAAGCATGAGCTAGGCAGAAATTCGTATTGATTTTGGAGACTTGCTTAGAGCTCAGCAGTACAAAAATATAAACATATATTTCAAGGTTTTTTCAATCTTTAAATACAAGTTTAGGAGACCAACTTCAGGTGGTGTTCAAAAATGTATGTATATGCTTATACCTAGACATGTATTTCTAAGCATAGACATCCGTGCAAAGTACCTGCTTGTGTAAGGCAATGTGCAGGTAGGGTTCTTATGTATCTTGCAGATACCATGGAATTTTCTTTCCTGGTATTTCCTATAGGTCTTGATCTATAACTTCTTTCCTAAAATTGGTACTAACCATCTCCCCCAAAAATATAACAATAACATGCATTCAGAATTTGTAAATATATTAAATGGGAACACACCCCTTAAATTTCACTGAGTTGCTCAAATGAAATTGCTGAATGTTGGTGAATAAACTGAGGAAAAAGATCTGGAGCAACTAAACAGAACTTAGCAGTGTGTCATAAAGGAAAGAAAACTTCACAAACATTATCCAGTTAAGTAACTGTCATAATACTAATTAATGAACACGCTATAGACACATTAAGTATGATTTGAATTATTTATTTTTTGAAGTGGACAATTTAGATGTTGATGTAATTAACCATTTTGTTTTAAATTTCTTAGAGCCCTTGGCTGAGATTTCTTGCACTAATTATAGTACATAGGGGGAACAAAAGTAAAAGGTTATTTTCCAGTGTGCATGTGTGTCTGTGTCTCTGTGTATGTATGTGCTTTACAATTATCAAACATATATTTACACACCAACTTTACACTGAAGTCTTTAAGAAGTCTTTTCTATGGCAGGGGAAAGAATCAACTGACCAAAGACTTAGGTCTATATGATCCATTTGAGATTTTTCCAGTATAGTCCCACAGAGCTTCTTATGCATTCAAACTTTTGCTGGAATGTTACTCCATCCAGTAGTGTTTCTTTATGAGATGAAACCTGGAGCTGAGGAATGCATCTCTTCAGTTTCCTTAACTTCACTAAACTGTAAATAATTTAAATTATTAAATTGAAATATCAAGACATTTAGTTATTGTTCATATCGCTCATCTTTAACCTTCTAATAATACATCACATTTTTAAAATAATTTAAAAAAAAAACAACCAAAAAAAGACTTTGGAGGCTATATACTACACAATCTCCATGGCTCCTGCTTCTTGGGAAATCTGTTACAATATTACAATTCCCAGAATATATTTGGAGCGGTGGAACAGAATTGTCCGTTGGCAACTTTCACATTCAGCAATCCAGACACTACAACAATAATTTAAAAAATTGCCTTGTGATTTATTTTTTTTTATCTGTATTAAAAAAGGAACACTAACCTACTTCTTAAATATAGTTTGTTTTTTGTGATACACCACAAGATTTGGCAAAAAAAGATGTAAAAGAAGACTGTTTCGATGTATAAAACTCCTTACCAGTAGAAGAAACACTGACCTTAATGTGGCCTATTCATAGATTTCATTTTATGTAGTTTTGCTGCATATTTGAAGCCTTAAAGAGCAGAAAGAGCTGCTAGTCAGTTTGGAAATCACAGAACAGTTGTGCACCAGGAATTCCTTTAACAGGCCAGGTGTCCATGATAAACAGTGAAGTAAAGCAGAAGTGCGTACATAGTATATGCTGTGAGTCATGTGCATGTGTGTGCACGATGTACGTGTATATATTGTTTGGCTGTGTGTGCCAATATTCTGGGTGCATGCCCATTCTCTACAAATTTAAGTAGTATTTTGCTTAAAATCTGTTCTGTAGCTTCTGGTTTGAACTAGCTTTTCTCCCCAACACAACCATTCTGCTCCACACCCTGCAAATGACTTCATCTGTCCCTCACCAGCTTTGTATCTTCATGTCAGTGAAATTTTAGGACAACTGGATGAAGAATTATTTCTTACATAGAACATGATAACACTTCCACTGTAGGAAATGGAATGAAACAAATGGAATAAAAGTGCAGTGACTGTGGTGAAAACATCTCCACAGAGTTAGGCCTCAATCTCTTTTTCTTTTCTTTTTTTTTTTTTTTTTTGTTTGGGGTTTTTGAGTTGTTGGGGTTTGTTTTTTCACTGAGGGTGTTGTGGGGTTTTTTTGGAGAGGAAGTGTTTACTCTCCAGAACATATATTTTTGAAAAATGATGTAGCAGGTTAAGGGGACATAAGAGGAACTGTGTACATACATCAGATTTCCCCTTTTCTCTCCTTGGGCTACTATGCATTGCCCCATTTTTTCCCACTAAAAGTGGAAGTGGTTAGCCCCTTTTTAATCACTTCAGGAAAACAAATTTGAGCCCAAGGATTCTTAGCAGAGGCCAATATATTTGAGATTGTTCTGAATGATGACATCTGTCACTGCATCAAAGACAAATTGTATGTTACTGGTATCAGTGGCGCAGGTGAAGTGTGAGTAGATCTCCTTGGTCTCCTTGTTGCGATTCAAGTCCTCAAACTGGCGTTGGATGTAGACTGCTGACTCCTCATAAGTGTTTTGGCCTTTGTACTCAGGAAAGCAGACTGTTAAGGGGATGCGCCGGATTTTTTCTGCCAGCAGATCTTTCTTATTCAAAAAAAGAATGAGGGAAGTGTTGATAAACCAATTGTTGTTGCAGATGGAATCAAAGAGACGCAAACTTTCTGCCATTCGACTCTGTAGGAGAGGAAAGAACAGTGTTTCAGTGTAACTGTGAAAAGTGCACAAGATACGTTATTATGTCTATCAATGAGCAACATCTGCTTTTAGAAACAGTTTTTGTTTTATTTGGTGACTGTCCATCTTACCTGACTGTGAAACTTCAGGGATCTTAATTCACTTATTTTGATTCAACACAATTCACCACAGACTACTTATTCCTTTTTATATAAAATATTTGGCAACTATGGTGAAAAGCCTAAAACTGAAGATTTTAGAAACAATAGGTGTAACTTGGGAAAACATGGCTGTGTTCAAACTTAGGTTAGCACTATAAACAAACTCTTTAAATAAAAGGGATGAGTAATTTCTAAGGATTCCACACTATAGAAACATTCTGCTGTTAAAAGTTTTTTAAAAAGATGGAACTACTACAGCACAATTGCAACATTACATAACTAGATGTGTAGTTTAACACACCATAGTACTCAGAAATTTTTCCTTGCCTCATTTCTTCCCATTGTACAACACTGAAAGAATACACAAGAACCACGTTTTACTATGGTGGTACGACTTGTATATTCATAGGAGAAAGCTGAGTTTAACCAGACGTGTTCAACATCTTTCTGTTTGCTGCCCTGAGTAGCCAAACTCCATTTACCAACACTTTCGGACGACCACCCCCATGACATCTTTGGAAATAACGACCCAGCGCTGCCGCAGACCGAAAGGTCCCGGAGCGATCGGGGCCGCCGGGGATTCTCCCGGGGCGGGGCCGCTGGAGCTGTCCGTGGTACCGCGCGCCCTGCAGGGCGGGGTTTATCGCTCGGATTACACCGAGAAATAAGTGTAAACACATGTAAGGTTTTGAATAGAAAATATTCGAGATTATTAAAATAAATAGGACTCAAGTACTGTCAAAAGTAGATACCTAAAATGTCTTAATCGGACATTTTTGCTATGGTCAATGTTTTCCAGCATGTTACCACCTAGATCTTTATTTCTGTTCGGTTTCATTGGCACATCAGCATTATCATTATCTGACTAACTTCAGTCAGATGTTTGTCTATCGTGAAAATTTTTTTGAATATGAAGAAAACTTTTCATATACAGCAATATAGATTATAATCTTAACTTCCTTAAAAATTATAAACAAGCTAAATATCTATGGATTTTTTTTCAATGTGAAGTTTCCATAAAGAGATGCATATATTCAGATGATTATTCTTTGAACTGATCTCTACAAAAGCTATACAAAAACTGTTCAAAAACTGTTCAGATCACTGTTTCACGTATTTGTGAAGTCCGAGGGTTTTTTAATTCAATGTATCTTTCATAATTTTTTTTTCTCCTTCACACAAAGTGAATTTGCAATACTGTCCTGCTAAATTAAGAAAATAAATCCCATTCTGTTTAGGGATCTCTTACGTTCAGTATTCTCAGATCATGAGATTGCATAAGATTTAATGTAATTTCTTCACCTTAGTCCATATAGCAAATTTAATTAAGATTAGGCATTATTGATCAGCATAGGACATGATGGAAGGGAGGGGTGTTGTGAATGATGGGCATCATTAATGTTATATCAGGATACAGTTCCAAATCTTCCGAGTCTGTTGTCTGGTCTCACTTTGTGTCACAGTTACATAGTGGGTAGTTTCATAATATTTAGTGACTTCAGAGGAGTCATCAGAGGAAGAGCACCTTTCTCTTTGTAAACTTTTTAAATCTTACTTTTTATTTGGTTTTATTAGAGAATGACTATATATTGTATTGTTACTACTTCAAAGGAAAACTGCAACAGTATTGATCGTTACTGTTATACAAAAACAGTATCCTGAAAAAATTACCCCTTAAAAATGCATAGTTGCTGACATACAGACTGTTTTGGCTAAGCTTTTCAAATTACCTCTTATACCTTCCTCATTTTGTGTTACTATTCCTTTTCAGTTGCTATGGATTGACTTGGTCAGAATTGCATCCTCTGTTCTCAGAGTTCCGTGAAGGCATTGATTTAGTTATTTTAATGAGTAATTCTGTGTTTACAGTGTTTAAAGATTAAAACCACAGACCTTTGGCAGTTTCTGGAGCACAGGGGTGCACCATGATGGTTGGCACTGCCACAGCAGCATGTAGCCATGTTGCAATCTAAATCACAAGCCTCTTAAGGTACACTGAAATACAAGCAAACTTACACAGTCCCTATATTTGGGGGGGGGTTGTTTACTTCTTACTTTACTTCCTTTGTAAAGGCGAGGTCATCTGACACTTGAGCCTACTTTATATACTGACAGATTTATAGGTGTAAAAACATGGCTTTGAAAATCAGTTGGAGGGTTCATTTTTTATTTTTACACTGTAAATCCTGACACAACTGATAATCCCCTAAAAATATCATAGGTCTGTTTCCAAATAATCACACTTTTCTTTCCTTCCCTGAATTTGTAGCTAGTAATAAAATCATGCAAGACATTTTTAGCTCAGTTGAAATGTTTTGTTACTAATTGTCTGGAACAAAATTTTTTAGAGCTATTATAGGTTTTTGGCCAACTCTGAGAACATTCATGCCAACAGGATATTGCATTTTAAGGGGTTTGTGTTTATTACTGTATCTTGTAGTGAATCATAAGACTGTCCCTCTACTACCAAATCCTCAGTTGTAGTCTGTAGTCCAAGGACAAAATCAGAGAGGTAAAACCCTTTCATAAATTGTGAGATGTAATGAACATGTACAAGTGGACTGACAGTAAACTTGGTGTTCTCTTACATGATGTAAAGAAAGAAGTAGTAAACTGTTGACCTGACACCCAAGAAATTTCTTCTTCAATGTAATATTATTCTTATATTGGTTGAATATCTAAGAGTTATAAAAACCTTAACTAAACGAAATAGAATTTTTTTTTAGTTAAAATGCAAATAAGGTCATTAGGAATCATTTCCAACAAAGATGCAAGACTATGGTTGCATGTTATGAATGCATGATATGCCTTGGGAAATGACCCCCCCAAAATCCATGCAACTCTGAACAATGAGGAAAGGAAAGGAAAAAACAAGTCTTCAAATAACAGTAAGATGTCATCCATTTAATTATGAAAACTTTAGGTTAAGATAAACAGGCAGCACCTTCTTCCATATGAAGAACAGAAAACTAATTGAAATTATTCTTAATTTTTTTTTTTACCTGTTAACATAGAGGCATGAAACACAGAGTGTTCAATCTCACTTTCTGCTTGGAATTAAATGTCAAGCAAGTAAATCCAAACCTTAGAGAAAATTGTATACATGGCAAGAAAAGGCCTTTATAAATTTTAAGTGGTGGCTTGTGATTTGTGCAGTGCATCAATTACATTTGAAACAGCAATGCATGAAATGTGTCTCAGTTTTCTATAGCCAGATGGTATCTTGATATATCTGAAAATCTTGAATAAGAAGTGATATGTCCACAGTTCTAAGATAAAGGCTGACACTGAAACTGAGCCTAAAGATACATGATCTATCCACTCATATACTGCTATCCTAACATAACAGGCTTGTTTCTGGTTTCATCAATATTGTGAAGCTCCTGAACGTATTATAGGGAAAGTGAACTTGAGAGGGTTAGGGCTTATTATAATAATAAAAAAATCAATTATTGTACAGCTCCTAAAGGAGTTATAAAAATTTTCTGTTAATGTGGAGGAAAAATAATGGTAGGAAAAGGCGTTCTTCTTCTCTGCCGTGTCTTTTCAAGTTCAGGAATCCTGAGGGGAGTAGTTAGCCAGGTGGTTAGAAAAAATGTGCTGCTGTAATTTCATAATTATACACAAGCTGGGGTATAAGCAAGATAATGCCAATGTCTTATCCAGATGGCCTTGTTGGAGGCTAATTGCAAATTCTTCTTTGAGCATGAGAACAAGGAATTGGTTGCTTAAGGGAAAGAACATGCTAAGGAACAGATGGCTGCTTCTGTTCTTCCAGTAATTTGCAAACATATAAACATCCTTGGTCATCCTCTGGATCAGTAGAGGAGTGCTTAGCAGGAAAGAGTTCCAGAACAAGTAAGAGTTTTCAAAAGATTCTGTTATCAAGATAGCAAGAAATTAGAAAAGTGGTAAATGAAGCCAAACTAGAACGTAGTATCTTCTTACAGCTTTCACACTGAAGCTTTATGGTCACAACTGGGAGAGGTTTGAACTGAAAAATGAGAAATTATGAAGAGAGAAACTATCACAAATAAGAGAGTTAACTGCCATTTGTACTAAATACCTAATAACTTTATATCTCAATAATTATTTCTCTTTCATCATTATTTTAAAACTGGTAGCATTAGGGGGTTGTGAAGACCTTAACTAAACTAAATAAAATTTATCTTGTGTAAACCATAAAGAATGATGAATAAAATTGGTGCAGAAATGGTAATATCTGTTTTCCGGAAAAGTTAGAAGTCTGTAAATGTCAGTAAATCTTGGAAGAACCAGTGGAAGCTGTTGCTATTTTCCTGTTGAGGCTTTTCCTTGTGATAATGTCTGGCATTTAGCATACGCTGATAGCTATGAGCCATTTCACAAAATGGCATTAATCTTTTCTTTCTGTTTCAAATGTATTCTTTAGAGATATACAACTTGAGACCTTCTAAAGAAAGCAGGTGAAGCTAAAATATTTGAAGAAGGGGTGGTGGGGTAAAAAGGTAATTGAATCTGTTGGATGTAAACATTGTTTTTTCCTTAAGGTTACTATAAAAAAAAAAAATGGAATCTGTTCTGAAATAATGACAGTCTACAAAATAAATCAAAGGAAATACCATTGCCCAAGACAGTCATAGACAAAGCAATTCAGGCATTCAAACTATGTTTAAATAAATGTATAATGGAAGGCAGAGGGAAAGCAGAAGAATTTTGCAGTAGAAAATACAGATGATGCAGAAAGCAAGAGATAGCCTGCATAACTATAAAGCCAGACTTTTTACTTGTAGAAAAGCCTAGATTGAGTGCTAGTTGAAAGGTCCTTCCTGTCTAGCAGTTAGACAGTTGTGATTGAGT